GGGGGTAAAGAAAGTAAGACACTTTGTGACAGGGCGGGAGGTGGGTCTAAAAATGTCCTTTTTTGCGTGGCTTAATTTGCGAACGACCCCCTTACCGCTAAATATTGCTTTCATGACACCACAAAAGTTGGGCAACTGTGTTGTCAACACTGCTGATTTTGAAAGGAGTTTAAGCCTCGTTTTCAAATGTATATATGTCAAAAACATATTTCTATGATTTTATGACTTGAAAAGTCAGGGGAAATGATTCATTCTCGTATCTTTTGGTTTGGGAAACAATAACCTTGTTACTTCCCTTCGTTAATTATTCAAAGAGGCTCTTGGCGTGGAGTGTATCCGATTTCGAATCTCGCAATTTCCTGATCTTAAATACCCGGAAAGTCAGTTTAATGAGATAAAAGTAAAAAAAAAAAAAAATTAAAAAAAAAAAAAAAATTGTAATAACCTTTTGTTTCGAGCTCTCTAACAACAGACCTCTTTGGCAATCAGTTTTATAAAAGTGTATAATGATTTCATTAAAAAATGGCTTACAACATTTTTGAATAATGTAAGTGATCGCCGACTACCACCCTTTTGATCTCTTCACTCCATTTTGATTAGATTTTGTAGGATTGACCTGATATTATACCATGGTGACATGGACGTGCAAGCCATTAATGCAGTGGTTTCTAACCTTTCTATTGCCGCGACCCTTTAATACAGTTCCCTCATGTTGTGGCGACCCCAACAACAAAATTTATTTCGTTGCTACGTCATAACTGTAGAGTGTGTATGTGTTTAAGTGTGTATGTGTTTTCCGGTGATCTTAGGCGGACCCCTGTGAAAGAGTCGTTCGACCCCCAAAGGTGTGGCGACCCACAGGTTAAGAACCGCTGCATTAATGTAACACGTGACGTTAACGGACTCTTGCAGCGTATCAGGGTGGGGAGGGGGGGGGAATTATCACCATCTCTCCTGAGGAGCGTAAAAATCTCAATTCTATACAAAATTTTGAAAGAAGAAAAAACAAAACAACTCCATTTAAAAGATAGATGATCGCCTTTTACAAGATACATTTCTGCCCCATGGCCGCTGATACATGAACACCCCATGGCCACTAAAACATGAGCACCACATGGCCACTGATACTTTTACACCCAATGGATACTGATACAGCAGAACCACATGGCCGATGATACATGAACACTACAAGGCCACTGGTACATGCGCACCCCATATGCCTGTGATATACGAGCACCCCACGATCACTGATACTCTAGCCCCCCCCCCCTTATGGCCGCTGATACATGAGCACCCTATGGCCGCCGACACCCTGACCTAATCCTTACGCACTCCATAACACAGCGGGGAAACAATCCTATATTCCATTAGATCAAGATGTTGCGACAAATCTACATCTTCCAGCCAATCTCATCTCGTCCTCGACCACGCAAATCTCGTTTGGCCAACAGCCGTAATTTCTGAGCCCACTGCATATAAACTCAAAGAGTTTTGTCGGCGGGAGCTTTCTTGGCAATGGAATCCGTCGAAGTCAAATGAAAAAAAAAATGGTAATTGGAATACAGCGAGCTGTAATGATTTCCAAGAACGTCAATACAAAAAAATCTTATTGATAAAGTCTGCATTAGCATAGCTAAGTGGGAGGGGGGGGGAGAGGGGTGTTTTGGGGGGGGGTGGGGGTGGATAGCCGAGCCAATTATGGAATAATTATCTAATGTGTAGCACACAAGAAATGTTTGCATAATTTTTTCAGGGGGGGGAGGGGGAAAGGGGGGGGGGGGGTATAATAATGTTTTGTTTAAAAGGGTGCGTATTTTAGTGTGGAGATTAATTGTGTAGCTGTTGCTGTGTGCCTTGTTTTTGTGACGTATTTGGGTTTGCAGTTAGAATAAAATGTATTTTTGAAGGGGAACATGAAAGAAATATGAAACGTCTTTTCGACAGAATTTTACCATTTTACATAACTGCTTCTTAATAAAAAAAATAAATGCAAACAAGAATGGGTTGAAAGGATTTACGGTAGAAACTTTGTTTTTAGGGTTGTTTTTAATTATAATGCCATCATTCTTTTCTTTTAATCACGAATTTTTGCCAATTTTTTTTCTTAATTTCTGATGAGGAAGAAAATCAAAATTTTCAAATGAATTGTTGTTGCATATTATTTAATTACAAAATTAATTTTTTCGTTAGTTTCAGCGTTAAACTTTTTAACAAACACTACGTCCTTGTCTTCTAGGAACATTGTATGGCCTCCTGTTAGTGGAAAATTAGTATTTCGTCTTGTAACTTAGGGGTCGTTCGCAAATTACGTCACGCTCAGAAAAGGGGGGGGGTGGAGGGTCGAGAATTTGTGACGTCACAATTTTATTTTGTATCTTATCTCATTAGTAAACCGTTGTGGCCATTTTACATTCGGCTTGTCGGAGACTTTGTGGATGTTTCGCGTCACAGTTTTCTAATAATTCTACATCTTAATCCATTATGGGGGAAATGTTAAAGCATTTTTAAACATCTTAATTTATTTATGAAAATTGCATGTATGTTTTGATTTTTTTATTTGTGACATGACACTAGGGGGGGGGGGTAAAGAAAGTAAGACACTTTGTGACAGGGCGGGAGGTGGGTCTAAAAATGTCCTTTTTTGCGTGGCTTAATTTGCGAACGACCCCCTTACCGCTAAATATTGCTTTCATGACACCACAAAAGTTGGGCAACTGTGTTGTCAACACTGCTGATTTTGAAAGGAGTTTAAGCCTCGTTTTCAAATGTATATATGTCAAAAACATATTTCTATGATTTTATGACTTGAAAAGTCAGGGGAAATGATTCATTCTCGTATCTTTTGGTTTGGGAAACAATAACCTTGTTACTTCCCTTCGTTAATTATTCAAAGAGGCTCTTGGCGTGGAGTGTATCCGATTTCGAATCTCGCAATTTCCTGATCTTAAATACCCGGAAAGTCAGTTTAATGAGATAACAGTAAAAAAAAAAAAAATTAAAAAAAAAAAAAAATTGTAATAACCTTTTGTTTCGAGCTCTCTAACAACAGACCTCTTTGGCAATCAGTTTTATAAAAGTGTATAATGATTTCATTAAAAAATGGCTTACAACATTTTTGAATAATGTAAGTGATCGCCGACTACCACCCTTTTGATCTCTTCACTCCATTTTGATTAGATTTTGTAGGATTGACCTGATATTATACCATGGTGACATGGACGTGCAAGCCATTAATGCAGTGGTTTCTAACCTTTCTATTGCCGCGACCCTTTAATACAGTTCCCTCATGTTGTGGCGACCCCAACAACAAAATTTATTTCGTTGCTACGTCATAACTGTAGAGTGTGTATGTGTTTAAGTGTGTATGTGTTTTCCGGTGATCTTAGGCGGACCCCTGTGAAAGAGTCGTTCGACCCCCAAAGGTGTGGCGACCCACAGGTTAAGAACCGCTGCATTAATGTAACACGTGACGTTAACGGACTCTTGCAGCGTATCAGGGTGGGGAGGGGGGGGGAATTATCACCATCTCTCCTGAGGAGCGTAAAAATCTCAATTCTATACAAAATTTTGAAAGAAGAAAAAACAAAACAACTCCATTTAAAAGATAGATGATCGCCTTTTACAAGATACATTTCTGCCCCATGGCCGCTGATACATGAACACCCCATGGCCACTAAAACATGAGCACCACATGGCCACTGATACTTTTACACCCAATGGATACTGATACAGCAGAACCACATGGCCGATGATACATGAACACTACAAGGCCACTGGTACATGCGCACCCCATATGCCTGTGATATACGAGCACCCCACGATCACTGATACTCTAGCCCCCCCCCCCTTATGGCCGCTGATACATGAGCACCCTATGGCCGCCGACACCCTGACCTAATCCTTACGCACTCCATAACACAGCGGGGAAACAATCCTATA